GTCTGTTTATCTGCTTTTTTTTGTTGTTGTGTTTTGTTAACTTAGTGGTGTCCTGGTGTGTTTTATTCCTGTGAATAGTATTGCCTGGGGAAAGCACGCACTCTCTTACATACACACACAATAATCATAGGAAGGCTAAACAGGGTAGAATTTATTCTTTAAAAATAGCTAATGGTAAAGTCTGCAGCGGATGACTTTCTAATCCATACTGTATTTAATTGGCTGTATTGAACCATACTACAAATTAAGTCTTCTCTGTAATTTATTCTGTCAGACAGAACCCTCCAAACAATTTGATACTTCATTTAAACATTGGTAAATGGTTCATGGAAAGGCAAAGAGAAAAGATTTAATGATGATCAGATAAGAAACCCTCTGTTCACAGAATGAGTCCTGTGTGTAATGCCGTGGATTAGCCCAGTTCATTCATTCAATGCCTTTGTGGGCACGGTAACGTGATGTGGTCCTTCCTTCTTGTCTCTCTCCTTAGCTACTATCAGAATTCCCTTTGTCCCTCCCTCCCTCCCACCCTCCCTTCTCTCCTTCCATAATCATCACAAGTCCTTATTATTCAGAATGAACAATATTAGGAGTTAGGTATGATTGAGGAGAACCAGGCATGGATCTTTCTCTAAAAGCTCTAATGTTCCCACAGCTGAGAATGTGCAGAGAGAATGCTCCCCATGATGTTCTGTGTGCAGGACCTAGATGCCTATGAGGGCTCTGTTTTTTCTACCTACAATGTCATTTCCCCCTTACATTTTTTTCAGCCATTTATTGTTCAAGACTCAGTTCAAAATCACCTCCTTCGTCAAATCTTCCCTGGTGTCCTTTCTCTGTTCCTGCTCCCAGCTGAGCAACAATACTGTGTGTGGAAAGCTTGCCATTTATATTGGGGTTATTTTGGATGTCAATTTCTTTGCCTGTCTGTCTTATAAAAGTGTGAGCCTCTTGAGGAAGGAACCATGTTTTAATTATCTGGGTGGATGTAGCACGTAGCATGAGACCTAGAACATAATAGATAGTCAATAAATACACATGGTGTGATTAACTAGATGAATAATAAATATGAAATGAAATCAAGAAGAGCAAAGCATTCCTGATGGAAGGCAAACACAATTTAATATGACTGAGGGATGGGAATTGTTCCTAAGGAAACTGGGGGAGACAGGGAAGGCTTCTTGTATGAGCAGATGTTGGTGCTGGGCTTTGAGACATAGATATGAAATACTTCCAGGTATACAGTGGTTATGTATAATGAAGCCCAGGGCAGGAAGGCGTTGTCTGCAGAGAAAACCAGGATGTTCTAGAAGGCTGTATTTTTTAAGACCAAATACCTGCTTAGATTTGGGGTAGTACTTTAATATCTAGACTAAGTTCCTCCAAGGCAGTATCGGTCTTCAACAGGCAGTGTGGAAGAGCATGACAAGAGTCTGCCTTTCTGCTACCCATTTCCTCCTGTCCCACACAGCCTTCAGAACAGCTGGCCTTGCCCAGGGCTCCCCCAGGATGCTCCTGGGATGAAGGGGACCTTGCCTCCTGTGACCAATGACCTCATCTCATATTTTTGGCCTTGTCCACTCACCTGAAACCACTCAAACCAAAAGGTCCATACAGCCTGGCCTAAAGTGAGTCTAGGGAGCTAAGGAACACTTCCAGATCATGCTACCTTGACCTTTCCCTTTGAGATTCCTGCAACTGACCTGTACCCCAAGCCTTCTGATTAATGAATGACCCACTGTGACCTCAGATGCTTGAGATGACTCCACAGAACCTCGGCTCTACCTCTTGTCTGGTTCTGCCCTGCTCTTCTCTTCTTCTCTTCTCTCCTCTCCCCTCCCCTCCCCTCCCCTCCTCTCCTCTCCTCTCTTCTCTTCTTTTCTCTTTGTTGTCGGATGAGGGAGCCAGGAGTCAAAGGGAAGCAGACATTAATTCTACTAAGTCTGTTCCTTTTTCGGTGCTTCATCATCCTGAGTAGGAAGGATAAAGTTTGGACTTGGTACAGGTCCATCCAGTACAATCTCTGGCCCTGGGCTCCTTCATGAATAAACTCAGAGTTGAACTATGTAATGCTCAAGGCTCTATCCATCTCCAGCTGTCTTTGACTGTGCTGATACAATCTACCTGAAGACATGGGGCAATTTTGAGGCTCAGTGAGCAAGTGTTTGCATAGTGCTTCGGGTTGCTAAAATGTATGTGATAATACAACTGAGCGATTAGCAGCATTCTAATTTATTTGTATTTCCAAGTATCTCTATTACATCTGCATGGCTAAGGTGGGGGAAAGCAAAGACATATTCCCTCACTGACTGTTAGTTTCCAAATGAATGAAACACTTTCTGAGCAACCTTTTGAACATGTCATAAAATTAACTATGGGAAAAGATAATGTTACAGGTACCTTTAAGCCCTTCATGCATGCACACACAGCCATGCTTTCAAAGGCAATATTAGGTATCGTCAGGCATTAAAAATGTTTTAGTTTTAAAACATTTAATGACGATTCCCAGATAAAACATCTCCATCTGCTGTCTTGCATGGTAGGTGATATTTTGTGATTGCACAATCATATTCAAATCTAATTCCACCAGGAAGACTTCTAATCGCAGTTTAATTTTAGAGCAATATTCCAGTTGGCAATCAATAAGGCACTATCGTCAAACTTGGATTTAGTAGGAGACGTGGGTAACACTCTCCACCTTACACAAGGAGAGAGGGAAAAAAAAGTCTTTGTCTTCCACTTTCCCTGCTGCATACCATTCTAGCTCACAAAAGCTTAGAAATCGATGGCCCCATGTTGTGTGAATATATCTCTCATCAATTTGACATCATTAGCACCATGAAAAAGCTACCACTCTTGGAGCAGTTTTCCTCTGCGAGCTAAATAAGTCCTCTTGACAAAGCAAAAATAAACAGACCCTAATTACTCACAAATACTTCCTCTTTCACCAACTTTATTTGTAACAAAAGCCATCAGAATTATAGTTATCTTCCTCTACTTGAGGGGTTGGTTTGCTTGGCAGTGACACCAGTGTCCTGCATGAGGGCCAGGGGACAGGGTGCAGTGGAGGAGTGGGCTGTAAGGGCAGGCAGAGAGGTGCATTGTGAGTCCCTGGAGGTTAAAGCGAGGATGCAGTAGTGAATAATGGACCCGTGCAGAAGCCTGGTAAGATGCACTGGGCTGAGGCAGACATTCCAGAAAGTTCATGGTCTAGAACCCAGAGGTCATAGTGCAAGAGGCTGGCTTTGAGGAGGGAGGTCCCAGTGGCTTAAGGATACGGGGAGATGCAACCAGACCCCAGAGAGTTTCCGCTCTGGTGGTTCCCATGTTCTCATGACTAACTTCGCTGTGTGATATTTCTCCCTCCCTCTTTGGACCCAGTATAAGGGCAGATTTTGTCTCTCTGAAAAAAATCATTCATTTCTGTATTGGAATAGGAAATTCATAACTAATTGCTAAAGCATGAGCTAAGGGATATAATAGTAAGTACATATAATACCAAATAAACTTGTTTTCAATAATATACATTTCTGTTTTGTGACGTTTTGAAATTTGATTGGATCCTCTTTCTATTACTTTTAGTGACCCCTATAGATCCTGGATAGGGTTTTTTTTCCCCAAATTTTGTTTGTTTGTTTTGTTTAGTTTTTAAGATTAGTTCTGAGGAATGAACCCAGGAACTTCTCACTGAGCTACAACTTTTATTTTGAGACAGGATCTTGCTCAGTTGCCCAGACTGGCCTCAAATTTGGAATCCTCCTGCCTCAGCCACTCAGAGTCCTGAGATTACTGGAGTGAGCCTTTGGTACACACCTCTCATTTGCTAGAGGGGTGAAATGAGATCCAAAGAGACACAGTGGGTATTTTGTGTTCACAGGGTAGATGGAATTCAAGCCTCTTTATACTCAATGTAATGAAAGGGCTCTGAACATACCAAAAGCATGTATCTACATCTATAAGCCTTTACAGAGCTCAGTGTGATAAAGATTGCTATCAGTAGGTTTAATATGGAGGAAAAACCATAAATATCACCCCCCAATAACATGGTGAATGCTGTATTGTTGAAGCTCAGACAATAAAGTCATAAAGCTCAGTTTCAAAAGATTTTCAAATCACTGATCATCAGTCCCAGGTTACTTTAACAACTGCGGGCTGGACGTAGTACAAGGTGCTGGGACAGCAGAGATGGGAAAAACAGAACCTGGAGTGGAAGACAGGCAAGGGCTCAGGCTTGCCAATCAGAGGGAGAAGATCTGTAAAAGCAGAAACTCAGGGCACTACACGAGGAAGCTATCAGGATGTTCAGATCATGTAACGTTTCTACAGAAACACAAAGGGGTTAGGAATTGTCCTCCATTGAGAGAAAGTGTTCCACACAGGTGGTGCTACTTCTGGGAGCCATTGAAAGAAAAAGAGAATTGGGGCAGGCAGATAGAAGTCCAGATAGTGCAGACAGAGACCAACCTATGACAAGCCTTAGAGATACGCATAACCCCACATTCACCCTAAATGCTGACTTTGGACAAAATAGAGGATAGTGTTTGCTCTTCAACATAGTCTGTCTCTCGCCAGCTTCTGGGAAAGTGCCATAACCATGTAGAGCTCATACCATCAGTGCTGGTGGCGCCCCCTGGCGTTGTTCAGGGGCACATCCTCCACCACAGCATGCTGGGCACATGGGTTGGGCTGGGCTGTGTTATGAAGACGGCCCAAGCAGACCCACACTCCCTGCCTTCCTCTGTCTAGTCCGGCAAGAGGAACAAAAACCCATCCACAGATGCTCACTCTGCGTATGAGCAGTCCTGGTGTCGCAGCATTAAAACCGTGGAGGGAAACCTCCTTTTCTCAAGGGCAGGTACAGCTCTTTTTATCTCCATCTGGACCAGACAGCTTTTCCCAAGCCCCATGGGCTTGTTCGCACGTAGCGGAAACACATCTCCTATTGATCAACAGCGCTAAGGGAAAGTTGTGAAATGTGCTCTTCCTTTTGTCTCTGGTAGGCCCTTCAGCATCATCATGCCGTACATGAGATTTCCTACATTGCAAAGGACATCACAGATCACCGGGCCTTTGGATACGTTTGTGGGAAAGAAGGGAATCACAGATTTGTGGCCATCAAAACAGCCCAAGCTGTGAGTATGCCACTCGTCCTGAAAAGCACCACCCCGACTCTGGGGGCAGCACTGTCACTGTGGGTCTTCAGAGGCCCACCCGGAAGTGTGCCCAAGAGTCACCAGAGGGGCTCAGCTTTTGCCTCGAGAAGATAAATGGTCTTGGAGCAAGCAAATGTGTTTGGATCTCATAGTTGGTTTTTTTGTTTTTGTTTTGTTTTTTTCATAATGGGTATTTCCTAATGACTAATTATTTTCCTTTCTGATTAAGCTAGATAGAGGCCCATATACAGTGTTTTCTTGTGTTCATAGCCTCATTTAAAAAGAAAATAAGAGAAAACAAGTAACTGTTTTCCATAAAGCCTGCCCTAATTTTATTTTATTTGAAATCGCTAATAAATAAAAGCAATGCCTTTTATGCTTATGATTATTATGAATTTGCAAATATAATTAGTTGAAGAAATGAACTTTAGCCTAGATGCAATTTGCTAAACCAATATAAATAAGGTAGAATTAATTAAGAATGGAATGCTTTCAGTTTAATAGAAAAAGGAAGGGCTTCAGGTTGTAGCCACAAAAACAAAAATTGGTGGCTGCTACTCAGCATCGTTCATTCCCTTATTATTGTGCTTTACATCTTTCACTCCAGGCTGAACCTGTTATTCTGGACTTGAGAGATCTCTTTCAACTCATCTATGAATTGAAGCAAAGAGAAGAATTGGAGAAAAAGGCACAAAAGGATAAGCAGTGTGAACAAGCTGTGTACCAGGTATACTTGTGAATTTATCCCGGTACAGAGAAGATCAGGGCTTAAAATAAACAGATGTGAAAACTGCTGGTCAGGCCTTCTTCTCCCACTGCCACGCAGGAATAAACTAAGATGAAAAGTTCCTGTGTAAATTACAGGGACCCAAAGCAAGCCATCAGAAATGATCCTTTATTCTGTAAAATTCAGGATGTGCCAGAGAAAGTAAAACCTTTAACCCAGAGGAAGATTTCAGGGGAGGGAAACTAAAGACACACAATTGCTTTTGCTATTGTTAACAACGAGGTGGGGTGGGGAGGCAGCTACCGGGCTTTTACTTTTTCTGTGTTTTCTACATTAATGACCCATCAGCCTCTCCTACCCAGAACTGGTTTCTCTACTGTCCTATAATTTCTGAACACAGTCTCACGTCTCTTCTTTTGTGTCCTCTGCTTTTCACCGACCCTTCCCTCACTGTGAAAGACAATTTTGGAAGAAGATGTTGAAGATCCTGTATACCAGGTAATTTCTGAAATAAGTCAGGATTTCAGGTGCAGCTGTGCCTAGGCCATGGCCATTTTGTAAGACACTTGAGGAATGGACTGGCAGCAGAACCTGGAAAGGGACCGGGATCATTTCTGGGGCTGAGAGCTATCAGCCTCTCCAGAAGCGAATTTCCATAAACACTAGCAGAAGTGTGGCCTGCAGCAGGAACACAGGCTTGGGAGTCCTACTTCTCCCTTCTTGCCCTGCTTCAGCCCCCTCCACAATCTGTAAACCTTTGATCCCAGAGCTGAATGTTTGAAGAGTCTCTTGAATATTCTGAGTTCATTAGAAAGGTGATGAGTAAGGAGGTGGCTTCTTGAAGTTAAAAACTAGAGACAGGGACTGACATTTTGGTGACATTTGAGCACAAATCTAAAGAATGGTTTGTGAGCTTTAGCGTGGCTATAAGGGAGAGTACCTGTGACCTCCGATATGGCAACCTGACCCTCTGATTGTCCAGCTCATGTCACAGGGGCTGGCGTGAGAACAGAGAGATCCGGGGGACACCTCTGCCGGGAGCTGTCTGCACTCTTGGCAGCCTGCAGCCCACAGTGGGTAGAGATGACCTCTCTCAGGCTCAAGTCCAAGCTCTGTTCCAACAGAGATGCAGGAGAAGGGAGGAAGCACCGTTTCCCTCCTGTGCTTATTCTTACAGGAAAAAAAGGCCAAAGTAAAAAATACAAAACCTAACTGACTTTTTTTAACATAAAAACTAGAACTTAGGTGGTGTTGCATATTTGTGTGCTACATATGCACTGGATAGGAATGCATATTTTCACACAAAGAGCTGGTACCGCTAAAATGAAAGTAAAATAATATAGATAGCTTGAAATGGAAGAATTCTAACCTACGTATAGTGAGCAAAGGTGAAAAAGATGTACTCAGTGACTGGCCTTGCTTTTCAGTGCTGAGGGGTGAAGAGCTGTTCACAACATAAGCCTCAGCTCCTGCCTCGATGGCTTGCAGAGAGCGCCGAATAGCGGCCTTTATAGAATGACCCTTTAGCGTCTATAACATGAATGTTGTCAAACTGACGGGCAGTATTTTAACTGAGAATGTACAATGTGATGTTTATGGGATGGGAGAAGTGGGGGCTTCTGCGCTCCTTAGAGTTGAACTAGATCTTGGGCTCTAGTGAGCAAATGGGGATAACTTAAACGTAATACAAAATTTGTAAAGTTAGAGCACCAGGAATTTCCATGAGGTCGCAGTGCCAGCATCAGCAGCCATTCCTGAGACAAAATGTTATTGAATCAAGAGGTCTTATATCCAGAAATTTGTGCAGGGCAAGCATTGCCATAGGGGGTGGACCAGCAGGCCTCTGCTGTTATCCTAGCAGCAGGAATGTGCATGGCCCATTTTATTGCATGAATCTGGATGAATCTTCAAGGTGTTTTCTCTTGTGCCTGTTTCGTGAATGCTCACTTTGATTTATATCCTGAATTCCAAATGCTTTTTCTCCTCTTTTCTTTTTCACTTTTGACCTTTTTTCTCTGGCTGCTCCTGTAATAGTACATTGTGTTTGAGGCTGGACACGAGCCAATCCATGATCCCGAAACGGAAGAAAACATTTACCAGGTATAAGATTGCTTGCTTCCTACCATCTCACTACCTCCAATAAACACATAAAGCTCTGACAGGCCCTCAGAGCAACAGGGTCTCGTGGTCATTCCAGGCCTGTTAAAATACCTTTGAACGCACTGGCGTCTAGTTCCCCAGCAACTTACCAGTAGTTCCCACACCTTGTTGAAATGTTTAATGGCCCATTGGGTATGGTGTTTTAATTTTGAACGGATGGTAGCTATTTTAGGTAAAAACCAAAGTCAAACATTCCACTCTAATAAAATAGCACGTTGGAGAGTTGTTTTTCATAGTGTAAAGTCCTTTAATTCTCATCATTCTTTAAAAAGCCAAGTCCATGACTGAAAATAAGGGGTGAATTCAAAAGTGCTATTTGAAAACCATGTTAGGAGTATTAATGGGATACAAGAAGGTACATCTAAAGGTTTTCTCCCTCCTAAAAGAAAGGTAAATTAATATTCTTAAATATTTAGTATGTGAAGAATACTGAACAGACTTTTTAGCTCATTTAATTCTCAAAAACATGTTATAAAGTATTTAAGTCCCATTTTTATGGAGGAAACTGAGGCTCAGAGGTGAGCTGCTTGCTCAGGGATATATTACTTCTTAGAGCCGAGACTCAAATCAAGGCGTGCGGAGGCGAAGCTCGGTCTGCTCCCACCTTTTCATTGGAGCACTTGAGTAATTGTAGCTCAGCATAGCAGCACATCAAATAAATATGATGGCCTGCAATCTCTCACTAATTAGAATTTTAGTCCTAATTTAAAATATGAATACTACGGAAGAAGGACAAAAATTAATGTATTTAATCAGTGATTTCAATTTCCTTAATTTACTTGGTTGTGTGGTCTTTTATCCTGCCTTGGGCATGTATTACTTGCATAATATAAGTAAAACATATTTTCAGTGTCTTTCAAATGCATAGACTCCTAAATGACCAAATATAATGTTATTTCTACCAACACTTCAGTTTCAACCAGCCTTGTGGAATAATAATTCATCCCTCTCGCTTGGATTTTATTCAAATGTGAGGTTGCACTTTGAGGTTTTGTTCATAGTCATCATTTGCAACTTTCTCTCTTTAAAAATCAAAGTTGCAGTGTTGCCCAGTGTCAGATTTGAAAGCTCTGTGTACCCTTGCAGTGCCTGAGAGGGGGCCAAAGGAGCCATTAATCCATCATCCTAGGAAGAGAAGGAAGATTTGCAATACCAGAGTGTTCTGAAAATGGTCTCAGCTGTGGTTAGCAAGGCTGCCCCAGGGCCTTGGTGAGGACCCCAGGGGAGATGAGAGAGTCCTGGAGTGCAGCAAAGGGCTGGCTTAAGCTGGGGGGGAAACTGAGTTATGGTTTTGACTCTGTCATCGACTACCTGTGCCTGTGGCCAGGGCAAGACCTTTGCTCTCTCTGAGGCTCAGTTTCCCCCACGATAAAGTAGGAGAGCAATTTCTGTCTGACTCACTTGTCTATGTAAGGATGAAACAAGTTCATGTGTAGAATGTGAATAAGCGGCTTTGTCACAGGTCACACAATGAAGAGGGTGGCTGTGTGCTTCGGGATCTAAGCACAAGCACCAGCTGGGCCATGTCAGCTTCCTTGCCCTGTCTGGCCCTTAGTTTACTGATTTGTAAAATGAGGGAGGAAGACTCAAGAGTCTCTCTGGAAAGACCCTTTTCTGCTCTTTGCAACTGTCACCTCACCATGAGACTCCGATTCTTTGGAGAAGCACACTGGCTCGCTGTCCCGGGCCATCCCACTCTTAGCCATGGGGACATGTGTGCGTATTGTGGCCTGGTTCTGTGAGTGGGTTATAGAAGCAACTACACATCTCTCCCAACACCCCCTGCAGCTTGAACCATGTTCCCACCTTACAGACGAGGAAAGTGAGGCCCACAGAAGTAAGGGGTCTCTCAGGGTCACAGAGCTAATGAAAGGTAGAAGTCCCATATGCAGCTTTCTCTGCCCTCTGTAAATAAACATACAAATCCTGGAGCTCTTTTCAGCTCAGCATTTCCTGATTCTGAGTTTCATTCACACTTAGACTCTGTGCATGTTTTAAGTCACTATCTGAAAATCACACTTGCTTTAACAGCTCTGGCCTCCTGATCTGCCCATCTGTCTGTCATTAATAAGAAGGCACCATTTAAGGGAATGAATATTTATCCCCATCTATTGGAAAGGCTTCTAGTCATTTCCCTCTCCTGCACTGCCAGTCTGTCCGGGCTCAATGTACTTAACAAGACATAAGCTCTGGGCCTAAAATAAGCCCAGCTTTTAAGGCACTGCTATTAGGAATCTCAATCTTCTTTTCTTTAAAGGCTGGCGAGTGCTGCATCACTGCTGAGTCCTTACAGTGTTTCTTCTGCATCAGGCTTGGCTCAGGGTGACCTCAGGTTTGAGTCCCTCCCTGTTTTCTGGAATGAGCCAAATATACCTGGCACCTAACCCCCTTTTAACTGTTTTGCGGCCTTGGGTGAAGTACATAATTTTTGTATCTCAGTTTCCTGGGCTATAAAACTGAGATTGTCTTAAGTTACTGTGTCTTCCTTAAGACCCAGAGCCTGACACTCACAACTTATAGGAGGGTTACTTTGGTTCATTGTTTGTTGAGGTTTCAGTCCATAGGCAGCTGGCTCCAGGGCAGGGCTGCATGGCAGAGGGATGTAGCAGAGGAGAAAGAGCTCATGGCATGGTAGGCAGGGCCAGCAGAAAGTGTAGGCTCACCTGGCTTTGCTGTTTGCAACTGCCGTGGAGGAGGGAGGACCCAATTTCTATGGACAGTAAGCTCCCTTCCCCAGATACATGAATAGTCACAATTGTCTTTTCTTCTCTTACCTCTGTAAAGCTACCAGTTGTCTTTAAAACAACACAGAGCCTCGTGGTAGAAAGCTTTTCATATATGGCTTAATTTTGACCCTTCTAATACTGCAGTGAGACAGGAAGAACAGCTCTGATGACTGTCATTTGCAACCTAAGAAAATCCAGTCCACAAGCCCAGGGCCTCTGAATCTAACTTCTGTGTTCTCGAATACCTCAGGTAGCTTCCCACATAAGTAACCCCTCTGCCTTCCGAGTGGACATTTTTCACATTCATTTTTTTCAAAACTAATTCTTAATCACTCCACCTGTGTCAGGTATCATCATTTGACAATGGCGGGGCTCTTGTCTAAGTCAGCTTGCACTGCCTCTCCGCACTATCAACTGGCATGCTGCTGGAGCCAAAGTGTCTTCCTCCATGTACAGCACTGTATCATGTGTAGCTTTTAGGATAATTTAACATTGATGAACTCATCCATTCAAAAAAGTATAAATGGACACCTAGCATGTGCCAGGCACAGGGAAAGAAGCACCAGTGACCAGGGCATGGTGTCTACTCTCAAGCAGTTGATGGACAACCTTGTAGATGTTTATGAAAGCCGGATGAGGAAACTGAGGCTCAGAAAGCTGGTGACCTGACCGCTGCACATCACATAGCCCATGGCAGGACCAGAATTGGGAATCAGATCTTTCACTTTCCTTCAGTCTGAGATTTTTATCACTGTGCATGTTGGTACCGTACTGGTCTGTGTAAACAGACATATGCAGAATTGAGAGCCAGACCACAGCCTTCAGTGTCCCTGTGACAAATATCCGATGAGCAGATACTTCTTTGTTTACCTAATGTTTATAGGAAGGAATTCAAGGATAACAAAATACCCACCCTGCCCTTAGCAGGCTTACCAAGCCTTGGGACTGCAGATCCACAGATAGCTACAGGAGGATGTAGTGACTCCCACAGAAAGATAAAGTACAGCTCTGCTCTGTTTGCGTGGCCTGATTACTGCTCCACCCCCCCTAACAAGTTAAAAGTCTCTGCTAAGTCAGGGACCTTATCCGTCTAGGTCACATCCTTGTCCAGGGAAAGTACAGTGTGTGACACATGACAGGTACTTGGTAACTTTTATTTTTTAATGAGCAGATAGACCTGAGTTTACCGCAGTGCAAACACAGGTCCCAACCAGGCCTGAAGAGGTGGGCCAGGCTTCTGAGAAGTCTCGGCTGAGATAAATCTTAAAGGACAAACAAGCAGATTGATATCTCACCCATGGGAGAGCCAAGGAGAAAAGCATTTTCAATTATGCGCAGTTTGGGTTTATCCATCACATGGCTTCTCCTCTGTTCACAGGGATAATTGAGAGGCTGCAGAGGTTCGTCGTGCTAAGTGCCATAGTGAGCAGTGAATTACGGGGACAGAATGCTGCTTGTTTGCTCCTAAAGGGTGAGCTAGTAAAAACAAAAGTGAGGGCTGGTAATTTATTGGCTCTCGTTAACAAGGACTCTGTAGACATTCAGAGAGTTCCTTTTAAGTGGAGCCCAGTTATCAGGAGCAAAGAGATTACATTCTCGTTAGGCTGCCGACAAACTGGGTTTTCTGGGTTTGTAAGGACAGCTCTGGAAGAGCATCTTCCACTCACCCATGCTCGCTCATGGTCCTGTCCCTGGGCACAGGCCTCTGGAAACGGAGGGTGTGATGATGGGGAAAAGGACACACTGGAAGCAACCCGTATAGGGCAGCAATCAAACAGCAGAGGGCCAGCCCCACTCCTGACCGGCCCACTGGCCAACTTCTGGACCCTCATCAATGTGTCGTGGGGGCAGGTGCAGTCCTGACAGACTTGTCCTGAGCAGTGTGTGAGAATGCATGTAAAACACATGCTCTGAACAGCACCCAGCACATGGAAAGCGCCCAGAGTGAGTCAGCCTATACTAGCTTCTTTGGTAATCACAAAGAGCAACGTGTGGAGCCTTCCACCTTTGAAACTATGAGCAGAGCCCTAACATCTCTGAGCCTCACTTTCTGCAGGTTAAAGGAGACCTGATAAAACCAGCTTCTTGGGCTTACTAAAGGATTTTAAGTTCAACAAGAGTGGAAATGATAAAGAATCTGGAAGTCTAAGCTCAGATTCTTACTCGTAGAAGAGTGACACAGTGAACCGTCCATGCCTACCCAGCAGTTTTTCTTTTTCTTCACTACCCTCTGCTCCTCTGGGGCGGTGTTTACCCACAGACACTCATGGAGTCCCCACAGGGTGGGAGCCACTGTGCCTGCCCCTGAGCAGCCCCAGTCTGACAGAAGGAGATTACCCTGAGCGCTCATCTACTGCTCGAGCCCCACAGTGAAGGCGTGAGCTGAGCTATGGCAGTTGCTGGGGAAGTATCAGCGAATGAGCGCTTCCAATCCAGAATGTCCCTGGGCCGAGCCCTTGGCAGACTCAGAAAAGCGTTCCACACTCTTGCCAGTATCACCTGATGTGTTCACGGGTATATGTACGTAATGTACCGCTGACAAAAGCAGTGGTTGCTCTGACCCATTACAGTGTTTGGTTCCTAAGAGGCTTTGTTTATTTAACATCTGTGTTCCCATTGGATCCTAACCAGAACCTGAGCGAGAGGCAATGATGACAGCCCCATTTGATGACGGTACAGCTCAGAAGGGCCAAATGACCTGCTTGGGTCTTACCGTTGACACGTGGCTGGGAGGACCAGATGGAGGAGCAAGGGAAGGAGGAAGGGAGGAAGGTGCAGAGCAGTATTGAGAGCCATGTGTGCTAGGATCCTGGTATTTACTGTAGTTTTAGTCGCCTGCCTCTCATTCTCAGCTCTGAGCAGTTTGTGCTCAGCCACAGACTGTTTTGAATGGCTTTGAGCAACTCACAGCTCCTCCCTGGCCCTCACTTTTGCATTCAGTGAAATGAGGATGATTTTCTCACTACAGGAAGCCCGCAGTCCCCACGCTTCCTGTTCTGAAATTCTGTGGGAAGCGTCATGGCAGAGGAGCCCTCAGCCAGTCCCCTCATGACCCTGCCCCATCCTCATGTCGTCTTTCACCAGCACATCATCCCCTGGGGCTGGGGGCCACCCCCTGCCCATCGCACCCGCTCGCAGTGGACGTCTGGCTGCGTTGTGCTTTAAAGGGGGACACCAGCGTGTTTTGACTGTGTGGAATTTGACTCTTCCGTAGGTTCCCACCAGCCAAAAGAAGGAAGGGGTTTATGATGTGCCAAAAAGCCAACCTGTAAGTGTAAGTACACTTTCCCTCTGCGGCGGGTTCTGCAGTGGTGGGCGGCGGGAGCCATCTTCTGGAGCGCCTATCCCAGGGCGTGTGTCATTGCTGGGGGCTCCTAAGTGGGCCCAAGGAAAGAGGCAGGGTGCAGGAGTGGTGGGGCTGAGCCAGGTCACCGAGCCAGGTCACCAGCCCAGACCCAAGAGTGGGACTGGGTTGATTTGTGCCACCCGCTCTACCAAGGGGACTCCAGGGCCCAGAGGGAAATGGGAAAGTCTCCAGGCAAGGCTTTCCTGTACCAGTCCGTAAAGGACGGTGTCATCTCTGGGAAGGGAGCTGTTCATCCAATCTGCAAGGGGCGGAAACATTTCAAAGGGACAGCAGGTGAAGGCTGGGCAGGCCTCTGGGATGTGCGCAGGTCCAGCACTGAGCAGGATGCTTCGGAGAAAGCCATGTGCAGGAGATGTCCTGCATTGTGGACGTGGTCTGGATCCCTGCCTGCTGGTGGGACTCCTGGGAACTAAGCCAGAAAGGAAAATCCCCAGCTCTCGATGCCCAAGCCACTGCTAGTCCCACAATACATACTTAAGGACCTCCACCTGCCACTCAGGAGTGAATCTCTACACAGAACTCAGCCACCTGGTCAGCCAGTGAAGGTTCCTGAGTGGGGATACGTGTGCCCTGTGCCAAAGGATCTAAGGTGTTTCACCACCCCTGATCTCCCTCATCCACGCAGACCCTCAGAATCACAGCTCCGACACCAACAGAGAGCTTGAGAGGCTAAAATGATTCCGTGTGGAACATTGCTTTGAGTTCTGACCCCACACTATGAAAAAACATACCTGCGTGTTTCAAGATAGGATGAACTACAGAATTTGAAACCTTATTTCCCAAAGAGCAGCTAATGGACCCTGAATTATTCGGTCTGGAGAAAAACCATAACCCTGGAGCAAGGGCTCTAGTAGAGGGTCTCAGTGTGGAAGAGAGGCCGTAGCATTCTGTGTTAGCCATGTCATGGAACTGGGCCCAGTGGCTGGCACTAAAGACAGCAGACTGCAGCTGGAAGGGTAGTGGCCTTGCTGATAGGTAGAGCTGTTTGGGGTGGGACTGGTGGAACCAAAGAGAGAGAGAAAGCACAGCCTCTCTGGAGCTGGGCAGAGTGCCCAGGACCGTGTGTCAGAGGGCATTCGGGCAGTGACACCTGGAGTGGATGGAAGGGCAAGAGGCCTTTCGTGTACGTTGCAAACCCAAGATCCATGAGCCCAGAGTCTTTCTTGCCTTTGTGCCCTCAAGCCCTGTCACTCCTCTGTTAATAGCACCTCTTCCCCATCCCCTCCATGAGCTTCCTGAGGTCCTTGTATTACTGAGGCCAGGCACAGTGCCTGCTCCAGGATTATTTAATTGATAGATAAATGACTATTCCCTGCAGAAGAAATTTATGCAAATCACATATTCTATTTTGCTGACATTAAAATATCCTTACCTAAAGGTACTAGAAGTTGTGTCTGGGGAGTATCTGGGCTGTATGGACCATCTCCAGTGGCTCCCCACCTGTAATCCTCAATCTTGATCCCACCTGCTTTGACAACAAGTTTTCGTGAGTCATTTTTCAGTATCCCTGAGAGCCTAGGAGAGGCAGGAGGTGAGAAGCACAGGCTGTCTTTAGAGACAAGTGGACACTATCACACCTGTGCCCCTTCTTTTAGCACTTTTCGGGTGTAGGTACGTTTTCTTGTCCCTGAGTGTAAGGGTTCTTATCTACTCAAAGGAGTTATTGGGTCTAATTTGAAGAGAACTATATTAGAAAGTTGATCTCACTCACCTAAACCTCTTGGAGGTAGTGTAGTTCCATGTCCCTCCTTGCAGTAGGATCTTCCTGACCTCTGCTTCCCCTCGTAGACCTGCCTCTCTGGCTGTGCATTCCCTACGGCACCCCTGTGCTCTGCAAATCCTCCTGTGATCTTTCTGTCTGCCCCTTCATCACCTCTCAGCCAGAAAAACAAACCAGAGGTAACCTCATTGGTGCGTGCTAAGCTGTGGGACTTCTACATGCTTCCCACAAGAAGGAAGACTGCCCAGTGGCTTGTTGCCCTTGGTTCCACCTCGTTTCTTCTTCCTGGGGTCCAGGTCCACACAGGTGAGAGATTCAGCCTGGATCTCTCCTTGGGGAGATGACCCATTGGTCCTAAAGAAAAGACCTGATGTTCAGAGTCAGACCTGGCCACTTACCGAGGGTCCCTGAGAAACTTGCATCTCTCATCCTCTATGCCATCACCTGTAAAAAGAAATACTCTAATACTCTTTTAACTCTTTTCCAGAGATCAGAAGGAACATTTTTGTAAAACCCTTAGCAGAGATCATAAATTAAATTATGAGACTCTTTCTGTGTGTCCCTGTGACAAGCAGACTGCTCTTACTGAACTGGGGATTGTTGTCTCCACTAAGTGATGCCTGTTAGAGAAGCCTTCCTCCCCCAGAGGGTAGCAGTCCCTTGGGAGTACCCTGTGCCTCTCTTTGCAAGAATGGCAGTGGATTATCACTACCTCTTTATGTATCCATGTGAGTCCTGGAACTCTGTGTTCCCTGCAAAATCTTGCTGAAATCACGTCTCCTGCAGCTCTGTGACCTCAGCATCTGGCCCATATTTAATTTCCATTGAGGATTGAGGTGGCATCATTGCTCTAGGTTCATATTCTTCCTTTGTTAGCAGCCATAAGATCTTGAGTGACTCATCTACTCCACTCTGTCTATAGTCTTCCTGTGTTTAGAATGGTGATGTGAAAAACAAATCCATCGAATTCCAACAGTGTAATTAGATTAATAGCTATAATCCCTCAGTATGCTTTATTAACAGGCACTTAATACATGTTGCATTGAATTCTTTACCAGAAGTGGTCACCTTCAAGCCCTACTTCCTGCATCACGATTCATCAGGACCAGAATCAAGTCATTGTCGTGGGCTGATTACCAGAGGACACTGGTACAGAGCAGCTGCTCCAGGAGTAAATGAATGAGTGAATGAAGGAACAAATGAATGACTGTGAGCAGTGAAGGAGTAAATGAATGCCTTTAGTCCCAAAGCTCCTCTGTCGCTCCTCCTGAAGGCAGACTGAGGCTGAGAGCAGCACCAGCCCCAGCCCCTTCCTTCACTTGTGGCCAGCGAGCGGCTCCTGCCCTCCTGTGCCTGCAGCCTCCATAAATATGTGCTGTGTTTCCTCTGAAGCTCGGATCACTGAGCTCACAGATGGCCTTCTGCGCACACGTGCAAACACACATGCACGCGCACACCTGCGTTCAGTCTCCTCCCATGTCAGCAATCTGCACCAGGCGAAGCCAAAACATTGTGCTAGCTTGGCAGAGTTATTTTGGGGTTCGGTTTTGTTTCACTTTCCTGCCTGGGATTGGACATTCTCAACTGAAAGAAACCCTGTGGAAAGTGTTATGATTGTCAGGATTCTTTATTTTCCCAGAAGAGGGAACCACACAGTCTGGTAGAATTAGGGTCAACATAGCCCTCCTCCTGAAAAGGAAGCCCTGTGAACAATCTGTGAGTCGCACAGAAGGGTGGAGAAAGGAGGCGGGTCCAGTGAGTTTGCTAGACTGGTCTAAAACTCACTTTCATCCCTGGATTTGGAGCATAGATCCGGACTCTTCTTGCCTTGTCTCAGATCATGTAAAATTGGAAATGACAATTACATAGTGCCCTGCTCAAGCTACATTTAGCTGCAGCCTTTGCTTTTGGGAAGTAACTTTGTATAGCAATAGAAAACATGAAAGACAAAAAGGGGAACCTGAGGGATCCTCTGCTTCATCCAGTTATGTTCTTCATACTCTATGGTAGTTCCTGAAACTTCTCTACATTCGGAGCAGAATAGAGAAAAACGGTGTCTGTCCCACGAAGGTTGCAAGGAACACTGGCCAACCCGATGTTCACCAGTACATCCAAAACCCGTCCCTCAAGATTTTTAGATTTTAGTAAATTAACACAATACTGTGAATGTAATATGTATTTGGATACAGATATATAATGTGTACATGACTATATCAAATTGAACATTTCTCAGGTTTTTTTGACTTAAAAACTCTTTTTCTTTATAATATAAAATATATCTTAGTTTGAGAATCATTCCACTAGAGACTTGTTGGAAAAGAGGCTGCCTGTGAGCTAGTGATGGGAAGCAATCCATAGCAAAACTCGTGCGATGACACTGCAACATGTATTACACTCACAAGTCTGTGGGTCCTCAGCATGGTCTTCCAGTGTCTGCTTTTCCCTGAGCTCCTGACTTGCATGTCTGTGCTCAGTTGTGGGTCTGGGTGACTTCTCTGGGCTTGCTCACATGCTTAAGGTTTGGCTGGCTTTGGGGTGGTCCCTGTGGCTTCAGATGGAGCCAAAGGAGAGTCTTTCATGTAGTGTCTTCTCCTTTAGCGGTTAATCCAGGGTATTGGTTACTGAGTGGTTGCCAGGTTTCCAGAGCATGAATGGAAGCCTAGACGCATTGTCTCTGCCATAGTCTTTAGCCAGTGTAATTGAGAAGTCTGTCCCAAAGTCAGGGAGTGAAGGAGGAACCCTACCCTGTGGTGGGAGTCATTGCAAAATTTCATTGCAAAAGAGCATGAATACATGGAGAGGTGGGGGAGTGTGGTCCATTATATGCAATCAATCTACCACAGTCTGTGCATAAAGTCACACTGAATTATGATCATCAGTCTTGAAATCTAGAAGCCTTTCTTCTTTGACCCCACTGTTTTCCTTTTTGTTGCTTTCCCTGCTTTCAGCCATCATTGGAGGCAACTTCTCCATCCTTCGGAGAGTCACCTGGCCACCAGGTCCATGACCTTCATCCCATGAACCTTTTCTCTCAGAAGCAGCTTCAGTGATCTCAAGCCCTAGGGTGCCCTCCTTTCTTGCACACAAACTTCCCTCTATCCTCTGCTCACATTCCAGTGCACTTTTTGAAAATTTTCTTGGTTCAACATTCAAGATCCAGTTAAAATATTATTTTCTCTCTTTACCT